GTTTTTCTGTTTACTTTCAAGGTCAAAGTTTTACAGCTTTCTGAATGCTAATATCGTTAAATCTCACTCGTGTGCAACTTTTATAGAAAAGCTTAAAGAATTTAACTTAATATAGCATTCTGCTTTAGTTACTTTTATTTTTGTAAAAGCTTGTACTATTTTTCCTGGTCCATATTGTCATATTAGACTCGCTTTTTTAGTTCTGAGGAAACCTTACTCTGGTTTCTTTCAGGTTTCCTAGCCATCTGCTTTATTGTAATGATGTGTGATATGGCGAATAAATAGATTTTTTGTATGAATAATTTATTAGCTAGTAGTAGCCGTAGTGTTGTTCAGGGCTCTTATTGTGTGAACTTGGGCTACCTGTGGTTAATTTCATTTAAGAGTATTCCTTGCGAGTCATTTTTTAAAGCTATGTTTCAAGCTACTTTTCAAGCTATTGTAAAGAACCAAAAATAAAGAAAATTAGGTAGCAACTTTTTGGGCTTTTAACAAATTTTTTAGCAACTTTTAGGGATTCCAGTGATCAACTTTTCAGCATTCGACGAACCCAATCGGGACAGGCCTAATATCATGTGGATTTTGTCAGTCAAGATGGTCATCAGGTTTTTTTAAAAAATAGTTTTCCTCATTGACCAGAGAAAGAAAGAAAGAAAATGTAAAAAGAGAAAAACCTTCTGACTTCCACGGTGTGCCAGAGCAACTGGATGGCTCTACATATGCACCTGACACGCAAGAAACAGCCGTATGTAATTCAAAACAAGTGCTACTGGGCGCTGTCCAACTTATGAACAACCGGAGCCTGTACGGTAATTCGCGCAGTCGAGATTGGGAATAAAAACGAGGTTAAAGAATGAAAGAAAAGGTCGAGAGTGCCACCGCTTTCAATTTTCCCGATCTTTCAGATGAAGGCAACGTCGTTCCCAGGACCTCTCCGAAGAGACGTAAAGGTCCCGGTAACTAAAGGTTGCATCCGTGGGAGACATCACTGTTTACAAACATAGGTTTTGTTACCTAATCAAATTTGCAACGAGTGAATTATTAAACAAAACAATCCAGGAATCAGTGGAAGGAGGGAGGGTACACTTTTCTCTCCTACAAACGCTCGCGGCTAAAGTTGCCTCGGTAGGAAGCTGACACTCTTTCCCTTTTTGGAAAGGAAAATTTGGCAAGTACATTTTGGCAGCCTCCGATTTGCTCCCAGAACCCCCAGAGAGCTTGCTTGCAGACCATGGTTTTAGTTGATTTTTCCTCTCAAACGATCTAAAGACTGATTTATATTTTTGTAGTATCGCGCGCATATATAATGCCGGTATGTCGCGAAGTTTTGCCTGATAAAGAACCCCTTGTCATGATCACAAGTTTGACCAACATTCGGCGCTCAATAAAAGGGTGCTCTGACTGAAAACAAGAGGCGTTAACCTCCCTGTTAACTGTCGAAATAAAGTGGTGAGTTGGTTGATCAGAGGAGACAGCATGTTATGCCGCTAACTGAGATGATGAAGAAAAATGGCTACTAACGGCTGTAAAATTCATAAAAGCTAAATAAAATGTTTTAACAACTCGAGTTTCGTCAAAATGAATAGAATTAATTTCGCCGTGCTAACTTTTTTCATTTGCATCTTAAAACGCAAAGCTGTATGTTTCTCACGGGAACATGTGAAGATGAAGACATGAAAAAAGGGCCATTATTCTCGAGAAAGTTTTCATTTAGCAAAGTTCTCCTTGGTAGTGTCAGTGGGAAAACTTGACAAGTTTTTTTTAGCTTGACAGTGAACATCTTGTCAAATTTCCCACTGTATGGGAGCTTGAAATCCATGAAAGCTTGACAACAACGAGAAGGGATGTACTTCACAGAAAAAACGAGAAGTTACTTTTAATTTTCATCATGCCCTACCAAAAGGACAAAATCGCTTGAAGCAATTCCCCACCCCTGAGCCCAAAGAGCTGGACTTTTTCCAAAAGTTACGAAGGGAGATGGTAACAGGTTAAACCGAACCATTCAGAATAAGCTTAAAAAGCCTTTTGTATAGGCCAAACGCTCGAGGCCATATGTTTAAAGCGAAACCTAACCCGCTATGGCAGGGCGCGTCCAAGTTCCCAAACTAGTCCTTTTTGTTTTGTGAACTGGTAGTTTTGCTTTTTTACTTTCAGAAAACTGTTTAAATCTTGTTGTTGAATTTAGAAAAATCTGTATTTTTTTCCCAACGACTGTTTTCTGTAAAATGTCTGTTCGGAGAAGCAAATATTGTCCTCAATTTTCTATTACTTGAGGACGGCTAATAATTTCTACATGATCGTTTCATTCATGTACAGTTTTCGAAGCTAACTCTAATAAATTCCCCACGATTTTCTGGAGTTTAAATTTCATACATTTCACTCCCCAGATTAGGCTATTTTTCTTAGAAAAAACGAAACCTAAACCTCTTTTTGGACACAAGAAGGTAATGGAAAGAGGAATCAGAAAAAATTCTCATCTTCGTAATAAAATGCTTAAAACATTTTCGGGAAAGTATTATAGAATTCCTCGAAATTTCGAAAAGACTCGAATTTCCCCTAGGATGACCGAACGGATATAAATTTTATAGTGCCGCTTAGAATGCATTTCTGGATATCTAAAAGTACTCTGGAAAGGCTAAAAAGTGTTTTCAATGAATTCAGGAGGAAACCGTCGTTGGTTGATTCTGATAAATACTGCAGACTTGAAACGAATATCTTTAATAGCCCGGTTTTCATCGGGACCATTGAGAAACAGGCCCCAGTTTCGATTTCTTTTTTAAAGTCATAATCATACCTGGCTCCGAGGCTCAGTGAAAGCAAAAGTCCACAACTTTTAAGTCTTTATTGCAACTATTTTTCACCGCGATGGTAAGGCAACTACATTTGTTTCCTAACTTTTCACCAAATCAGATACAATCATGCCATTATTTTATCATTCCCTTTGCATGAAGTTCGTACTTAGAGCGCAGCGAAGTCGTGAGGGAGAATTCAGACTTCCAAAACAAATTTATTGAACAAAAGCTGTTGTGAAATGACTCACGCATGTGCGCTTTATGTTTTGTTGGATTAGATGAGGTAAAATCGTGTCTAAACTTCGCAAAAATTGAGCAAACATCATCAGGTAATATTATTCAATCCTTATTGAATAATTCTGTTGAGATATTTTCATTTGTAGCTCTAGTATTTTGTTTTGGCAGCCTGGCCCCAGTTGTTCAAAAGGTGGATAACGATATCCGCCGGATAAATCTCTATCCAGTAAATAGCGCAATTGATTTCGCTATTGAGTGATCCTTTGGATAGCGATTTATCCAGTGGATAGCGTTGTCCGACGTTTGAACAACCGCGGCCTGTACCGTATTAAAGCTCGCGCAATCGAGATTGGGCATAAAAACGAGGTTAAAGCGCGCAAGAAAAGGTAGAAAATGCCACCGCTTTTATTTTTCCCGATCCCCTAGCTGTGGGTAAGGTCGTTACCAGGACCTTTGCGAAGAGCAGAAAAGGTCCTGGCAACTAAAGGTTGCAACAATGGGAGACATCACTATATACAAACATTGTTTTTCTTATGTAAATTCGTAACAAGTGAAACAAAACGATCCTGGATGGGCAGGGGGTAAACTTTTCTCTCCTACAAACGCTCGCGGCTAAAGTTGCCTCGGTAGAAAGCTGACCCTCTTTCCCTTTTTCGGTAGGAGAATTTGGCAAGTATATTTTAGCAGCCTCTGATTTGCCCTCAGACCCTCAAGAGAGCTTGCTTGCAGGCTATGATTTTAGTGAGAATTTTTTTTTTGATATTCAAACAGTCTGAGGATTGGTTTATATTTTTATAGTACCGCGCATATATAATGCCGGTAGCGAAGTTTTACCTGATTAAGAACCCCTGATCATCATCATGACAATTTTGACCAACATCCCACGCACATCCAAAAAAGCTCAATAAATGAGTGCTACTGAAAAAAGAGGAGTTAACTTCCCTGTTAACTGTGGCGATGAATCGGTGAGTTGGAAAAGTATACGTAGAGGAAACTGTATGTTATGTGGCCAACTGAGATGATGAAGAAAAGTGACTACTGGTGTAAAATTCATAAAAGCTACTGTTTTGATGACTCGCATTTCGTCAAAGTGAATAGAATTAGTTTCGCCTTTGTAGCTTTTTTCATTTGCACCTTCAAACGTAAAGCCATATGTTTCTCACGCGAGCATGTCAGGATGAAGACATGAATAAAGGTCCATTTACTCTAGAAAGTTTTTATTTGGAAAAATTTTTCTTCGTAGTATCAGTAGAAAAACTTTGGCAAGTTTCTTTTACCTTAACGGAGAAGAACTTGACAACGACGAGACGCGATGTACTTCAAAAGAACATGTACAACGAAAAGTTATTTTTCACTTGCACAGTTCCTTACCTCAAGGACAAGATCGCTTCAAAGGCCAAAGGACTGGACCTTTTCCAAAAGTTACCAAGGGAGACAGTAACAGGTTTAACTGAACCATTCATAATAACAAGCCTTCGTTAATAGGCCAGAAGCTCTAAACCATATGTTTAAATCGAAAACCTAACGTATAGCTGGGCGCAAGTTCGCAAACTAGTCCTTTTTGTTTTGTGAACTGGTAGTTTTACTTTTTTTGCTTTGAAAACTTTTTAAGCCTTGTGGTTAATACTGCAAACTTGAAACGACTTTTTTTTCCCTAACCCTTTTTTGATCGGGACCGTTGAGAAACGGGCCCAGTTTCGTTCTTGGCTCCGAGGCTGAAAGTCCACAACTTATAACCGTCCCCAAGCACATCTTTATTGCAACTATTCACCGCGATGGTAAAGCGACTACATTTGTTGTCTAACTTTTCACCACACCAACTACAAATATGCCGTTATTTTATCATTCACCTCGCATAAATATCCCTTCTCACTACAAATAGACAATATTACGCTTAAAGTCCATTACACTTCTCACGTTTGCGAATGAAATGTTTTAACCTAGTTTATGCTTGGATCGTGACCTTGTGCTTTATACCCACTTGTACAGGGCGCGGTTTATGTTGAACCTCCGACCATTGTAATTGTTTGCCACTGCCAGGTAAGTATGACCTTTGTACTTGAATGACGTCATACCATGCCCTCCATGTGTTGGAATCTCTTGGTACCTGATGAACCGCGCTCCAGTGGCCTGGTACACAACTGACTGAGTGTTGTATTTGTTACTGTCATCATAGAGATTAGAAACACCGAGATACGTTTGACCGTTGATCACAAATGGGTGCCAAGCGACAGCCCCATGAGTAGGTAAGGACTGGAACAGGACGAACTTGTTGCCATTCCACTTGTAAACGAAGGAGTCGATGCTGTGTTTATTTCCAGAGTGGCGGTTGGCAAAGGCAAGGAATGTGTGAGTGTTGATGTTAAAGGACTTGACATCGAACGCGCCGTAAGCCTGAAGAGACTGCAGTTTAACAAAGCGACCTCCTGACCAATTGAACACAGTGGACTGAACAGAATACTTGTGTTGGGAGTTGTAAAAGTTTGCAAAAGCGATGAATGTGTCATCGTTTATCACAAACGCTGTACATCCGAAGGCACCTTCAGTTGGTATGTCTTGAAAACTGTTAAACTTGCCACTGCTCCATTTGTAGATAACTGACTTTGTAGAGTAGGTACTTCCGTCATGATAGTTTGCTACTGCGAGATAATGTTCCCCGTTTACGTTGAAATACATGAACTGTCCAGCTCCGTTTGTTGATAATTTCTGGAAGTGAACAAACAGCTTTCCGTTCCATTGATAGACTATAGAATCCAGCCGGCAAGTTCCATCGATATGATTAGCGACAGCAAGAAAATGCTTGTTAGCGATGGAAAAGTACTCTAGGTCCAAAGCTCCTTTTGTCTGCAGGCTCTGGTACAGAGACAGTCTTCCAGTTGATTCGTTCATCTTGTAGATCATGGAACCTGTCTTGTAATTTTTAATGTCCCCACGATGGTTGGCAAAAGCAAGAAACAAGCTTCTATTAATCGTGAAATGTTCCACATCTGCTGCTCCTAGGGTCGGTAGATCTTGAACTTTCTCAAATAAGTGGAAAGCATTGGAGCAATCTTTTCACAAACGAAAACAGAAAGATAAAAAAATATACTTCATGAATTGCTTTTTCAAGCAGAAATTACTCAAAAAACGTAGAAAAAATAGATATACCGTGCGGAGCTATATTTTTGCGGGTTTGTGCGGTTTTTTTTTCCGCTAACAGCAAAGAAAGGTTACGAACAAAATTTTAATCCACTGTAGATATCGAGGATTTATACATAAAATTCGCTATCGGTCAGTGTAAAACGCAGACTGCGGACTGCAGACTGCAGACTGCGGACCAGGGGTAAAATGCAGACTGAGTGTAAAATGCAGACTGCAGACTGAGAGTAAAATGCAGGCTGGGTGAAAAATGCAGAATAAAGACTGTCGACGTTTTTAAACATTTGTGCTCCTTCTTCTCCAATTCGGTGAAATAGCCAGCCGGTGAGCCAGCATTTCACATTCGCCAGAAGTTTCAATGAACATCCGAACAGCTTAAGTCTGCGTACCTTGATTTGCAACACTTTCATAGAAGGTTATCCAAATTTCCTGCAGAACACCTTTCTTTGTTGTTGGAATGATTCACTCCCTTTTTTATCGCCATAATTCTTCCTGTACAGTATTTTGGGTCAGAAGCTTTCATTTCAGCGTAAAACATCGTGGTGTTGTACCAATTGACGGTCCCTGGTCACGTGTGTCGAAAACTTCGTATCTAAAGCTGAAGTGTGAAGTCTCTCGGACGGAAAAAAAGGTTCAAGAGTGCGATTATGTTTTCGGGTCGTCGACGACGTTCCAGGGAAGAAAGGAATGGATTTGTGAAAGCAGATGTCGTCAAGTAAGTGTTCGTTTACGTGTATTCGCGGGATTTTTTTACCCTTACACCCTTCCACGACTACAGTTTATGCTTGGTCTGCATTTTACCCCAGCCTGCGTTTTACTCTTAGTCTGCAGTCTGCATTTTACACTCAGTCTGCATTTTACCCCTGGTCTGCAGTCTGCAGTCTGCAGTCCGCAGTCTGCGTTTCACACTGACCGAATTCGCTATACAAAACGAAAAATGGCTTTAGACCGTTAAAAATATTATCAGTCCATTTTTGAATGCGACTTTCGAGCTAGAAAAACTACCCCGTCCTAGACGTAAAAAAATTAATTCTCGCAAAACAAATAAAATAATCAACCGGAGAAAATAAACTGGACAGGAGCAGTGTTCTGGTCTAGCAACTGTGTTTTTTTCAGAGGAACTTTTATTTAAAAAAATGAAAATAAGTCAGTCTACACCACAGACAACAGTAAAACAATAAATGTTCTCACCGGCAGCTGAACAACACCTCGATTTACGAGAAGATAAGCTCTAAAATCCAGAAAGGAACAACAAAAGCATCTTATTTAGAAGGTTGACAATCTCCTACCGTTAATTTCAGTTCTATAGACGAAAGGTGTAAATGTTTCAACATTGGACCTATAGAACCTTTCGTCTTGTTAATGGTTAAAAAATTTGAGTTAATGACCATGAAATGAATAAAGGGAGAGAGAGAGAGGGAGAGAGAGGGAGGGGGGGAGAGGGAGAGGGAGAGAGAGAGAGAAAGAGAAACACATCCACCACGCTGTTATTTGGCCATCTTATTTCCCCGATCAAACTTGAATTTGCAGATTAATTGTGTGAAGGAAGGAAAATTGCCCCGAGAGACAACAACAAACTTGTCTCACATGTGAACGTTGACCCGGTACCATAATTATAGAGTTTAGAGAGGAAAAATTCTCTCGGGAGGGGTTCTTGTCACATGGAATATATAGCTTATAATGGTGTAAAAATCCACAGTAGGAAATATGGTAGTTTCCTGGTCTTGCTTACTAGTGCGATCACGAAATGACGTACAAAAGACTAAAAAGACATAGAACAATAACTACACCAAGAAAAGCTCAAATATCTTAAGAAGAATACCTTAGCATCACATGTTCCCGGCATTCCCCTTGGTCCCTGTTTGCCCTTTTGTCCTTGTGGTCCATTATCACCACGCGATCCTTTCTCACCCTTTTTTAAAAAGATAAAATTTGGGACATGGAAAACCTAAACAACTTATTTTCTTCTTGGAATACATGGGGTATCCGTATTAGTGCAAATCAAAAATTATCCTACGCTTGAATTTCTTTACAGGATAAAATGGTTGCAGATTAAGCCATTATTTGAACATGTTCTGAAGTTATAGCAATATTTTTTAATTGATGCATGTGTAATCAAATGGTGACTCCTGAAATTTGGGAATAATTTCACTTGCGTTTTGTCCAAATGCTTATAATTTCAAGGGAAATTATTAGGATTTGGACAAAACGCAAGTGAAATTATTCCCTAATTTCACGAGTAAACCATTTGATTACCTATTAATATCATGGGTGACGAATTACGTTAGCAATCTTGGGTTTTTGACATGTTTAATCCTGGATCCTATCGATCGAGAACTCCACTCTCTCGAACGTTTAGAGCTTAAATTTGGCTTAAGTTCAGAGTTTTTCAACAAAATGCCTGTTAGAATCCTTCTTGATGTGCTCTTTCGTGTGTTCAGGTTTTCTAAAGCGTCTTTTTATGCCCTGGCTGATCTTCATTCATGACATATTAAAACTTCGTCGCCATCTTGACACTGAGACGTACGGAAGGTTGCCATGGCAATTTTCTAATTTCACATGTGAAATGTCCAGCTCGGACATACTAACTAACAGGTCGAATGTAACGTTTAGAAGCGTGAGGGACATGAACATTGAATGAGTGGTGTGTGTGGCTGTGTTGGATAAAGCATGTGCCTTCGTTTTTGTTTTGGACACTGAAAATTAGCTGGCAGAAAAAAAAGCATAAGTATTTGATTGAAGGTAAATCCACATTGGAGAACTGATTAAGGTTGTTAAGGTTGTCTTACAGACAAAAAAAGATCATGAAACTTACACTTACTTTAACACCATCATTACTGTTTTTATCCATTCCTGGTTCTCCTTTCTTCCCCTACAACAGAAATAGTAAGGAGCACTTTAACTACTTACAAAGGACCTGGGAAAATATGTCAACAGAATCGCTAGAAACATCAATATCGATGACCTTCAGAAGATCAGCCACATTTTAAGAAAAGTGCTCTCTACCAACTAGATAATAACGACTCCCCCCTCCTCTCAGCCACTCCCAAGGAAACAGGTAGCTCCTCAGAGCTCTGAGAGCATAATAATCATCATCTTCGTCATCATCATCATCATCAACATCATCATCATCATCATCATCATCTGTCAAAACGATTGAAAGACTTTCAAAGTATACGGAATTAGAGATTGAAATCTCTAGGATATGGGGCCTTAAAACAGAAATTGTGCCTGTAAATATTGGAGCTCTTGGCCTACTAAAAACGGGCCTGGGAAAATACGTGGAAAAAATCCCTAGGAGCATCAATATGGAAGAACTCCCAAAGATCAGTCTTCTAAGGACAGCCCATACTTTACAAAAAGTGCTGTCTACAAATTAAATGAAGACTCCCCCCGGCCCATCCAAGGAAAAACTTGGAAACTGGGCACTTCTCGGAGCCGTGAGCGGTAAGAACTGCGAAAGAAGAAAAACATAATAATAATAACAATAGCAATAAGTAATTAAAGCAAACTGTGACAAAGGAGTGACAATGATGATGATGAAGATGGTAAATAACAAATAGAGACAATCTATACTGTGGTGTGATCAAAATAAAGCTAACTGTTCTGGTTATAATTTTGATCATTTTGCTTAGTCCAACCTAAATTTAAACAAACAAAAGACATTACTACACTCCATATGATCACTGATATTTTATGGAGAGATACACATGTATGGATCCAGAAACTAAAAACCTCCATTTCAAAAGCAGTACAAATTTATAATACCTTAACACCTGCACTTCCATCTCTTCCTGGTTTCCCTGTTTCTCCTTTTTCTCTCTAACATAGATATTTATAAGGTGAAACCCAAACTGACAACACTGTAACTTAGAAGATGACTATTACTATTAATTTTATTCATCTTTTATTTATCTTTTAAGTAACTTCAGCCTTAGAGGAGAAAAATGATGGTGCATGGGAGCTGTAGTTATGGGGTGGCACATTGCTTTTTGAATGTGGTAGGTGAAGAACCGCTTCAAGGACTTGCTACCACTAAAATAAATTATGTTTATTTGCTAACAGAGCAAAATTAACAAAAGTACTAAAAATTAAAAGCCAACACATAATTAATGCACTTTTTTTTCACCTTTTGTTTAGTTTAAAAGTGACCAAAACTGCTCCATGCCCATATTTAATTTAACATTAGTTCTGAGTTTATCTAGATACACCTGCTTAGTGACTACGTTCATTGTATAACCATAGAATAGGGTAAGGAAGGTTACTCTATCTTAACTTGTACCTAATAGTGTCTTAAATCAATAAATCCCCTGTCCCCACTGCCAAGGGGCCTGGGTAAAATATAATTATTATATTTTGGATCCAGGCCCCTTAGCAGTGGGGACAGGGGATTTATCAGGCTCATGCCAAAAGATATTAACTTCAAAGACTGTAAAAAAAAAAAACAGGGCTCAAAAAATTTTCAGCCAGAGGTTTTGAGACAAGTTCCCCACCGTTTAAACGCCAGGCAAGTAACTTCAAGATCAATTGACTAAAGAGCAAAGGAACTGACAATTTTACCTTATGTAATTTGTAATTTGTTTCTTTTCTCTGCGGTATTATCCGACTTAGGGGTTGCCATTTATACTTATTGATTTCTGAAAATAAAAAAGAGCAATCTTATTGGCTTTTGAGAAAGTCTACTGGATATGAAATGAAATGTTGCTTATGACATAGCCTGCAAAAACATCCTTTTCTCCTCGCTCTTCGTCGCTGGGGATGTTTCGCGTGGAGGAACGTGTGCGACTTAGCGACAGAAATTCATTGATAAACATGACCATATTTGGGAATGTGATACAATAATTAAATTAGCATAATTTCCTGATTCCAAATTGACTGGCTGTGTACTGATAATTATGTACCTTGAGCCAGATATCAAAGAGCTTGAAAGGACAAAATGTCTCCTAAGGTGTGAATGCTGGCTCAAACCCTGCAGTAAATTATATTAAGTTCAAATTATAAGTGAAACAACAGCACCCATCTAATCAGCCCACCTTACAATAAATTAATTGTTAATTCATTGTAAGGTGCTGTATGGTGCTGTTGGCTTATTTGTTTAAAATGAAAATCATTGTTTTTTTGCAGAAATGTGTCAAGTTACCATTGGTAAACCTCAATCAACACATAACCTGCAAATTGTGCAATGGATATCTTATTGATGCAGCAACCATAACAGAATGTGTGCACACTTTTAAGTCCATGAATTTACATGACTTTTCTATTGACCTAGTATGACAGATAGACTAGAGAATATTGGCTAGAGATATATAGTAGCAGTAGATTCTGGGAACATAAACTAGGACTTCACAGTTTCTAAAAAGTGGCAAAGCACTCACTCACTCACTCACTCACTCACTCACTCAACCTCCTCATCCCAGCTGGGACAAAAGACCACAATCAAACCTCGACACCTTAAGCCTCTCCTGAGCTTTGGCCTGCACTTCGCTCCATGTTACACCCATTTCCTCCAGCTCATTCCTGATCATCACTGTTCTCCACCAGGTGGATTTAATTGGCTGGCGCCTCTTTTCCTTCTTTCATTTGGAGTCCATCTCATGGCTGCAACTTTGAATTATCAGTTGGCCCTTATTTGAGGGCAGCACTTTCTTGTATTTAGGAGTGATGTAATATAAAACTTCTTCTTCTTGTGAATAACACTCTGATTTCTTTCTTTCTTTTTCTTTGCTTGGTTCAAAAATGATAATAACAGCTTAGAAGGTAACGAAAGATGCATGCAGTACACAGAAATGTACTTTGAGGTCTGTGTCCCCTTTTATCAACCATCAGGGCTTAAATTCCAGCTTGTCCTGTGGGCAAGCAGCTCTTACTTCTTGCTAATCTACATTTTGTTAGAGGATGACTTGCATAGACCAGCAAGAATCCCACTCATCCCGAACTACTAGGTAGGACCTTTTTTCAGCCCTGAATCATGTCATTATTATAATATTAGGTCTAAACCAATACATCTGTAATTATTAAAAATATTCATAAGAGCAGTGTTGAGTGCAACAATTCTTGAATCAGGGGAGTGGGGGCACTTTGTAGCAAATACGTTGTATTATAGACCCCTTTACGGTTGTGAGGGCATGCTGGGTAAAGAGGACAAGGTGGTGGGGAATTCAAAAGTTTGTATGGGAATTCAAAGTCAACTAATTCTTCCTAATTGAATATATTCATTGCTTTCTCTTTGCATACTTTAACTAATGAACTTAAAGAAACTACCGGTATACGTTAAATGTGGAGTGCACAGCAGTCCTTTGTCGCTTTTTAGAAAATTTGACGTCTTCCATACATTATCTTTAATATTTGTGTTGTCAGATTACAGAAAATGTATGGAAGAACTCAGGTTTTCTAAAAAGCAACAAAGGACTGCTATATGCACTCCAGATTTAGCGTGTAGTTTCTTTAAGCTCATTAGTTACATTTTTCAAAGGGAAAGTGACAAATATATTCAATTAGCAAGAATTAGCAAACTTTTGATTATTCCACCATCTTTTCCTGATTACCCAGCATGCCCTCACAACCGTAAAGGGGTCTATTAAAGGTATCATCTCTCACCTTCAGAACTGTCTTCACGTGGACTGTGCTAGCACATCTAGCTTTAATTAAGAGCTGCAAGATCGTTCAAAATGCAGCTGAAGGGTTGGGTTTTATTTGCACATCGAGTTACCATAAACCTAGCACCTAATCCTATTTTAATTTATAGGAACACCACCTTGTCTCCACATGATGACCCGCAAGCCTTGGAAACGAGCTGAAACGTGCACGACGGTCATCTGAATTGACCGATTGCGCAATATAAAACAAAGGAAGTGTTGACAACATAGTTCAGGACCGAAGATCGGGAACTATAAGAAATCCCTGGAACTTATTACTCGCACGTCATCGTGTGTTCATCTCGCTAACTCATATGACATTTTATTCCGACAGGAGCAATTAAAACAATCAAAGTATGCTTTTGTCTCCTCTAACGATAACCGAAACCTCCGTAAATACATCATCGATTTTATTGTAAAAATTACAAATGTCTTTTCAAACAGAGCAACTGCAGAACACTCGGCCACTTTACTCAAATTTATTTACATTGGGTGGGCCACGCCGAAACGTTTCTTTCACACCAAAGTCTCTCTAGGTCAGGGATTAAAAGCAAAAGGCCGCGCGCGAGGATAACGCGAGACCACAAAAATATTGTTTTCGAAATGTAACCGCATTAGCAGAGATTCTTATTGAACGGACCGCAACAGTTTTTTTCTAAATAAATATCAAAAAGAAAAAGAAAAGCCTTCTTCCGAATAACCGGTTACGTACTGTGCTTTCCAGTTTCCAGGACGTACTAAAAGTGCCGGAAATGGGAATTTTGCTACTAGTTCGGGAGCATGTGTAATGCCGTGGGAATTTCGTGAAGAAAGCAAGCCACTAGTCTAAATGTGTTAAGGGGACCCTAAATAACAGGAAACGTTTTGGTGGCAACTTTGTAACTTGCTCAGACGGGATTTACATGGGGTGGATAATGTCATGTGTATATCCCAGCATGGAAACGAGGCTCAAGCATAAAATTGTCCATAGCTTTCCATTATTTCCGTAAAACTTTATCAAAAACAACACATTTGTACAAATCAATGTTTCCAATATGAACATACGATTTTAAGAGGTTATTGGGGTCACGTGACCAAGTTAGCACGAAAACGAGGCTCACTCAAAAGTTGCACTGGTAGCCCTTAAACTTCACCTGATGAAGGCAGAGATTGACAAAAGTCATGCAGGTGAATATCATCTGTGCAATCAAATGTGATTATTTGGTAAGGGTTAGCACGTGACCACGCTGGCATGAAAACGAGGCTGATACAAAATCACATCATAATAAATGTTGCCTTTGTTATTTTACCACAATGAAAACGTTTTATGAATTGCTTTAGAGATATTAAGGTGACAAACATAGGGCAGGTAACGAGTTTGATCAAAATAAAAACAGATTCTGTAATTTGCACTCGTTTATTTGAGCAAGTCTGTCATCTAGTTTTTTCTTCAGAACAGTAGGACAGTTTAGCAAAACCAATGGATCAGATAAACTTTCCCTGCCATTTTTGAATCACTTTTCACAGGAGTTTTAGAAGCATATCAAAATCTACTTTAACCTCCCCAAAAAATATCTTAGCATGGTTATCAGTTATAAAAACTGTTAGTGATTGTTCATGTGGTTCACTCATGTATATACATTTTACTATCTGAACTGTCCTCTTCATATGAGTTGAGTACGTCTTCCTCCTGAACATCATTAACACAGCTCTCGCCATTGTCGGAGCAGTTGCAAAAGTTTTTGCAGTTTAAACCAGCCTTGCGGCACTGGCAACGGTTAGTGGAACACCTTTTTTTGGAGCATCCACACTGACAGTTACCCATTGTTCTTGGTCCATCCGCCATCCATAGTGCTGCAATGATGGTAGCTCTGGGTTTGTTATTCTGTCGCTGTTCCAGACCATCAACTGGTAATGGGCTCTCAGGATTGCCTGCTGCAATGCGGCCTGTGTTGGTGGCAACCTGTCTGATTGTGCTTATTTTTTCTTGAAAAGGCTCCATCGTAGGTCTTTAACAGTCATAAGTTTTGTTCTTGGTTGATATGGCAGACAGACAAACTTCTCAATGGCTGCGACAATTTCTTCATTTGGATGAGCAGCTTGTCCAAGTTCTGCAAGGGTAGTGATAACTGATGAATCTGCTTCTGCAAATATCTTCCAGCAGAGAAGCTTTCCCTTTCCTGAAAAACTTCCTGTGTTGTCAGC